GGCAAGTAACTTCTACTGTGCGTCACTATTTCTTATAGCACCCAAATTCAAGATAATAGTGAGAGGTTTAGCACTTTTTTTTACCACGAAAATACTCTCGTAGAGAAAGTTCGTACTTTACCTATCCTTCAGAGAATAAACTTGTTAGAACAAACTGGTGTCATATATTAGAGTGCTTGAAACAGCCACACTAGCCACACCATTGTACAAACTCAAGAGGAAGGGGTAAAAAAATTCTTGTGGAGTTAGGAAACATTTATTCAGTAAGCCTGAATGATGGTTGCACATCTAAACTTGGGGCGGCTGCAGCCATTGTAATCTCTGAATCAAGTGACATATTAGAGTAGCATTTTCCCGAAAACAGAGATACTGTGGGGGTTGTAGTGGAATCATACAGCTGCAGCCTGTGTGCAATAGAGAAATTACCTGAAAGGGTTCCATCAAACATCAGATTCTACTGAGATGAAACGTTAGCAAGAGAAATGGGAACTAAAATCCTTGTGCTTGATGGGCGGTCAGTCATGTCACTGCTTTTCAAAATGGATGATGTTCTTGGCATTATTCAGGGCACTCAACGTCGACCATAGGCTGAGTCACCCACGGGACTCGGGCCTCTTGCGTACCGCTTGCGAAAGGTAGGTCCGAACACAAACTTTTTTTTCCTCTCTCCTCTCTCTCTCTCTCTCTCTCTCTCTCTCTCTCTCTCTCTCTCTCTCTCTCTCTCTCTCTCTCTCTCTCTCTCTCTCTCTCTCTCTCTCTCTCTCTCTCTCTCTCAACCACTTTAACTCTCCCCTTTCATTGTATATTTGTTTGTGTTCCTTTCATTGTCCCACTATCCCTCTCTATACATACCTAGCTATCCATCTGTTTATCTGCCTCTATCTATGCGCTTGTCTTTTTCGTTCCTCTTCCTCTCTCTTCGTGAATTTTTGCCTTTCTCATTCTCTCTCTCTCTTTCTTTCTTCATTTTCATCTCTCCTACCCTTTTTCTATTCTCTCTCTTTCTCCCTTTCCCCCTCTTTCTCTATTTGTCCACATATTTCCCCCGTTTGTCCTGCCACAATATTGCGGTTTAAGCCTCATCATCAACCCCCCCCCTCCGTCCCCGCGCCCCCCGCCCACCCGCCCGCTGACAATAAACTTGATTGTCCAATAAAGCCTGGCGGTATACGGTGCACGTGAATTACTCCTGGCATTTTTGTTTCTGTCTGCGAGTGTGAAATACTTTGCCAAATTCTTGTGTTTTGGGCAAAGTTAATGTAGATTTTTTTTTTTGGTCTTTTTTCTCGTGTTTTTTTTCGCTGTGTTAGTTTAGAGTGGGTTGGTTTATGGTCATGAGAATGGTTTAATTATTGTTAGGGTAGATATCTTTATCGTTTTTCCTGCGAATTAACTTTTATCACGACTGCCACCTCGGTAACTATATGTGCTTGAGCAATATCATTATCGTCACATTCGTCGTTTTCTTGTATAAAATTCTAATGATTATTATCACAGTCTTTGGAAAATAGTATAATTTAGAAACAGAAGTAATGTAGATGCGGATATAACCAACAATAAAAGAATGATTTGTTCAAGAAACTCGTATAAGGTTAATTACATTGAGACGTTTTGGCGCTGGAAAAAAGTCTGGAACGAACAGCTAGGTATCTTTTTTGGCGTGTTCGGTGCTTCACCTTTTGTCTCCTCGCAACTACACAGAAATAGTGCAGTCTGCATTCCCACAGCGCATTTGAGGAAAGGGAGTCATCAACAAGGCAGGACAATGGCATCCTACGAAGGGGAAATCGATGGCTTCGAGAAGATATGTACCTGTTGCATATATGTATATATAGATGTCAAGTCACAGCAAAGGAAATAAGTTTTAAACGGCACGAAAAGAAGGAAAACAATCGTTATAACAAATGTATTAACGACGATAAGATTTCGAAACTAGAAAATATAATCTATTTTTATACACAGAAGGGGTTACAAAAGTATCTGAAAAACTACCATCCCATAAGTCATCAGTCAGTTATCTATAAATGGTTCACCAACGTTTCAGAAGATTTCTCCGACACACTAAATTTTAACCAGCGTAGGCAACAGGCTGCTTACGCAAACAAACCCGAAGAGAGAAAATTAATAAACTTAAGAAACCACGATTACAAATTGATTTTCGTGTACATATACCATTAGTATTGGAATCGAATAGCAAATAAGGAGTAGAGATCTGTCATAGAATATTAGAGGATGTAAGCGATTATTGAAACAGCGATCATCAAATTCCATAAAGAAAAGATAAAATACTGATTACAAAAGGCATTAGGTAGGGCGACACCTTTTCCCCAAAGCTGTTTATTGCTTACTTATAGAAAATCCACAAGAAGAGAAACCGCAGAAGAAAGGGGATGAGAAATTAATAAGACTATCTGCAGACGTTATTCTCTTCGACAAGCCAACAAATTAACTAAAGGCACCAATAAACGATTTGAACAGGAGGTTTAAAAGTTGGACTATT